GGCACGCCGCGACCGCCGCGACTGCGCCTAGCCAGACCCGCCCCGGCTTCCGCTTCCGGTATGGGCCCCTGGTAGGTTGCGACACCACAGCTTCTGCTGGCCCCCGAGGCCGAAGGAGGGATCTGCCGTCTGGGCTTTTGCCCGTGCGTTGCCCCGCCTTTCCTGGCGCCGAGTGAGACTGAAGTCGTGCCCGAACGGGGACAAGATCCGGCGGCGGGGGGCGAGTCCGGTTTGATGGCTCCTTGGAAGGCGCTGATAATATGCCAGGCCCGTCGCCGTGGCGGCATTTCCCAGGATGTGTGCAAGACCTGACTCTAAACTCTAATATCCAAGGCCTTGATGGACATGTTTCCTTGTACACGAACATTTGTTTTAACATGTACACAGCCACCTAGAGACTCCACTTACCTATAACGTATACATTCGTATATACTAGCACATATGTTCTAGTTCGTACATATGATGTTCGTACCAGCATCCGTTGATGCAGAAAGGCTCGTTTATGGATCTGCACACACACTATTTAGGTTGTGATGTATCCATATATATATATACATAAAGATGAATAGCAATATCTGTATATAAAGGCATTGCTACTTGACCCTTGTATAGACCCACGGGAATACAAGCCAAATCGCTCGTGTATACACTTGAAATGTAGAAAATCCAAGCATACACGCACGTGCACTATCCTATGAGAGATGTCTGCCGGCACATATCAGAGTTGTTTCACGTCAGGAGATAGCTGCATCCCCAAACTCACTCACCTGTCCTCATAGCATACCCACATCTCTCCCACGTGGGTATGCAATCGGAGCATCCAGACTCATGTATGTATAGACACATGCCCATCCCTGGGGCTGGGTGGCAGACTTCAGAATTGGGAGTGAAGGAGGGAAAGAAGGAAGCCTGGATGATAAGAGAGCACTGGGGGTGGCTGGGTCCAGGCCTCCTTGGTGAGACAGGAAGACAGAGGACAGGTGTGCAGGGGTGGCTCAGCCCCCAGTCAGGTGTCTGAGAGGAGATGTGGAGTTAAGCACCCCCTCCCCTCAAAAGGCACTCAGATTTCAAGAAGAGCAAGTCCACTTCAAACCAGAGCTCCCCTTTGAAATGGAGAGATTCAAGTTTTTGAAGTAAGCTCTCCACTCTGAAGCCACAGACCTCGGAGAGGAAGGGGCTGTGTAAGGGAGCCCCCTCCCCTGGGCAGCTGGAGAACCCATGCCCCTCTCACCCAACAAGGTATGGAGAGTTTGCTCAATTGGCAAATGCTGTCTCTACATGGGACTTCCTTTCCGCATTCATTCCTCAGCTCTAGTGGTGCTGCTGTCTCCTTAGAGCTGGGGCTATGAACTTAGGAGGATGTGGCACTGCAGCCTTCATGTCCTTGCTGCCCTGGTGGCACTTTAACCATTGTGCTACCAGGGTTCCTTTCACTACATCTAAGCCCTGCACATCTTCACACACACACACACACACACTTGTGAAGTAGATACTCATCTAGTATGAGGAAGCCACTCCCTCCATCCATTCCCTCCTGACTCCTCAGCCTCGCAGGGATGATCTGACTTGCTCTCTTCCTACATGGCAGACAGTGGGCGCTGGGGCAAAGACTGATGGGAGACTGTGGGGTCTCCTCAGATGCAGACTTCCCTGGCAGGGGTTCCTTCGGATGTGAGTCACAGCAGACAGACCTTGGGGGGCAGTTCCACCATCAACCTCCTCTGGAGGGAGGAAGCCACATGGCATCCAGTGCCCTGGTGGGTTCCAGGGGCACTGTCTCCAAGTGCGTCAAAGGAAGAGAATGCTTTGGGGCATAGGCTTCACAAAGGAGGTGCTTTTGAGCTGGAATTGAAAGGATAGACACTTCCTCTCAGGGCTGGTTCTATAGACATTTCTGTGCGGAGCTGGCAGGAAGGGGCAGGTGTGGGTTTTTTTAATAGGGTCTCTGCCTAGTTGGCCTTGGGCAACCTCCAAAGTCAGGGGATCCACAACCAAAGGCTCTCCTAAGCAACCCCGGGCTTCTCGGGCCCCCTGCGGCAGTAGGAAACACTCTCTGGTTCTAAAGAATTTACAAAACTCTCACTGCATCTCAAAACCCAAAATCAGACCTGATGCCATCCAGTGGATTGGGACTCTTAGAGACCTGTAAGAGCAGAACTGCGCTGCAAGGTTTCTAAGGCTGTAAATGTTTCTGGAAGCAGACTGCCATGTCTTTCTCTTGCAGAGCAGCTGGTGGGTTCCAGCCGCTGACCTTTTGGCTAGTAGCAGAGGACGCTAGAGAGTGGGCGCTAGGGCCAAGACTGACGGGAGACTTCGGGGTCTCCTTAGACGCAGACTGCCCTGGCAGGGGTTCCTTCGGATGTGAGCCGCCGCAGATCGAGGGGGTGGGGTGGGGGTGGGGGTTGGGGGAGTTCCAGGCCAAGTCGGGGAAAGTGAAAGAGATGGAGCTAGGGGCCACGTTTGTTTGATTAGGAGGGGGGCAGCTTGAGGTTTGGGTTCCCATCTGCCTGTCATATCCTGGGCCAGCCATTTCCTGTCGCTGAGACTCAGTTTATCCCGTAGAACGAGGGAACTGGACGCGGACGCAAGACCGCCAAGCCTTTGGTTTTGCTTTACGATGGAGTGCAAAAACCTAAACCCCAAGACATAATAAAACCAAGAAGGGGAAGGAAAGAGAAAAAAAAGAAAAACCAAAATGATGTTCTCCGTCGTTTCATCTTCTGACTTGTTACAGAAGTCAGAAAGGGCCCTCCCACTCTTCCCTACCCAAGTCCTCTGGGTCCCGCTCTGGGCGAAATGAACCCGCTTTGGAGAACCTCAGCCTTGAGGTGACGACGTGGGGGCCGACCGCGGGCTCTGGTGTGGGGACGCAGAGCCGCTAGAGGCTCAGACTTGGGTCTGGTGGCCAAACGCCCTCCCACCCGATCCCGAACGAGTTTTTGAGCAGAATAGGCCCCGCTGTGGGGAAGAGAAAAGCCTTGCTCGAGGTCACTCGGAATCCTGACACTCTCTGAAACCTGCGACTGCATCTGAACCAGTGTCCGCTCTCAGAGGTTCGTACCGGCACCTCAAACACGTCGTGGGAGCGCAGGGCTCTGCGCACAGCGGCTGCGCTGCTTATGATGCTAGGGGAGCCCCGCGCCTCCGACGCCCCAGACAATCTCAGAGGAAAGTGTTGGTGTCTGTGACTGCAACCCTGCGCGCTCTCCACGCGCTACCTGTGTGGCTCTGCCCAGCGGAATAGAGTTTCTGTCGCGACCCTCGTCCTCGGCCCTCGGCGGCCATCGGGGCTTTATCCGCTCTTTTTCTCCTCCATCATACCCACAGTATTCAAACACAATTTCAGTTTAGTTTTGCCTGTGTTCAATGAGTACTAGGTTCAATTTGCTGGGACTTAAATTAGTAATTTGGTTTGGGGAAACCGCGAATAATTCGGGTTGGCAACTGCCTGTCATGTAAGGGAAGGAATCGAATCGATGGCCCAGCCTCCCTTGTTTCGGAGGGATACACTGTGGACTGAAATCCCCCAATCCGCCAGACCCAGGGAGGGGCAGCCCCACCAAGCGTAGAGAGACCTGCAAGCCCCGCTCTGATTTGACTCTTCCTGAAATTTGGAATTATTTCGTCTCTTTATGATCATACTTTAGTGAGCGCTGGCCCAAGTGGGGCGGCGGGCTGCTTAGCGAAGTCACCGCGCGCCCGGCAATGCGCTAGGTTTGCGCTCACCTCCACACAGAGGCTCTCCTGGAGAGCTTTCTCTGTCTGGGATTAGAGTTCCCGCCTCATTTCCCAAATAATCCGGAGAAGCTCAGGAGGGAGGAGCAGAGGTTGGGCCGGGAGAGGCCTTGGGGTCAGTGCGACTTCGGTAACCACGCCGCTCTGCCTTCAAGCTCCCCTCGAAGGTCTTCGGCTCCGCCCTCAGCGACGGTCCCCTCGCGGCTTCTTTGCTTTATTTCTAAATTCCACCCTCCGCTCCAGGAAATAAATCTTCCATTTGGGATTGACCAGGACGTTTTAAATACGCTTATATATGAATTCACCAAACATGTTTTAAAAAAGAAAACTCTTGGACCATGTTCCAACCAAAAATATATTTTTTTTTCTTTCAAAGATTAACAAAAAAAAAAA